AAACTGCAACCAAAAAAAAAAAAAAAAATAGCCAGCTACTTGGGAAGCTGAGGCAAGAGAATCATTTAAGCCCAAGAGCTGGAGGTTCTATGAGCTGTGACACCACGGCACTCTGCCAAGGGTAACATAGTAAGACTCTGTCTCAAAAAACCCAAAATTTTATGAAGAACAGAATTATCAATGTGAATTACTAAAGAAGATTTCTATAGGAATATAGCATTTCGGTGTGACATCATGTCAAATCAAAATGACTTGAATATTTCTCTGCAAGGTAAAACTAAGTCTACATATATGATATGTAGAAAAAAATCTAAGCATTTAGGGAAAAAACTATCTTTTTTCAAAATATTTCTTCAAAAGGAAATTTCAGATGAATAATTTCCCCAGTTAGCAAAAGTCACTGATGAGCAGGATGATATGTGTGAATCATTTAAAGACTACCCAATTGTTATAGACCTATTAATTGCAGTGAACAATGAACGATTCATTGACACTGAGAATCATGACATCACATTCAAATTAGCATTTCATGGTTCTCATAGCATAGCTCTTTGCACCTAAAGAACTACATATGGAATCAATTGAGCTCTCAGTAGAGGCTATTTTAAGGACATTGTTTGATGTTAAGGAAGATCCAACTGAAATATGGAAAAATGCAGAATACCCATCCCTTTGACAACATGCCCCAGAAATGCTTTCTTGTTTTTCAACCACTCATTATTGCCACTCTACATTCTGCTACCTAACCAAATCATGATGCCTTCAAGGTCACAAATGACTGATCTCCATCTAGGGGATCATCCAAAACTCAAGACCTCCATGCTGCAATCAAATATTTAAATGTTTTCCAACAAAAAGCAGATACAATAAACTAATTAAAAGGTTATTTAGCCTTAAAATTAACAAATAGTTTTCATTTTTTGAAATTACTAAGTACACAGTAGTTACATTTTTATAAAAATAATATACATTTTTAAATACATCTAATTGAAGTTTCTCAAATGTGGCCTTATTTGATTATAGCTAAATTAATGCAGCCTTCCAACATGAAACAGTTCCCCACTCCTGTTCCAGTTCATTCATGTATAAGCTGATGACAGACATGTTACTTTCTCTTTTTTTTGAGATAGAGTCTCACTTGGTTGCCCTCGATAGAGTGCTGTGGCATCAGAGCTCACAGCAACCTCCAGCTCTTGGGCTTAAGCAATTCTCTTGCCTCAACCTCCCAAGTGGACATGTTACTTTCAATTTTAGTTTCTATTCTGAAAAACAGGGATAATAACACTTAAGTTGGTCTGAAGATAGTGAGTTATCTCATGTGATTGCTCACAGTTAGTTACAGATTGAACTCCTTGCTCTACTCTTTCTCCTCTTCTCATGACTGCACTTGACTAGTCTTAAAAAACAGAAAAAATAATAATACTTATCCTTCGAGACAGTTGTGAATTAAATGATGAGATCATGTTTTCTTTGGGGTTGTTTTGTTGTCGTTTTTTGAGACAGAGTCTCAAGCCGTTGCCGTGGGTAGTGTGCCATGGCATCATAGCTCACAGCAAACTCAAACTCTTGGACTCAAGCAATCTTCTTGCCTCAGATTTTCTATTTTTAGTAGAGACAGGGTCTTATTCTTATTCAGACTGGTCTCGAACTCGTAAGCTCAAGCAATCCATTCACTTCAGCCTCCCAGAGTGCTAGGACTATAGGCGTGAGCCACCACGTGCCCAGCCAAGAAATGTTTAGAAAGGAACCTAACACTGGTGCATATTCTCTATCCTGTGACCAGAGTGATCTTGATAAATTACAAATGGGATCATGTTAAATCACTGGGTAAAGTTTTCTGATGGATCCATGTTGCCTTTGGGATAAAATCTAATTTCATTAGAAACCTTCAAGATCTGCCCACTGCCTACCTCATTTCTCATACTTTCCTATCGATACTTCAATCATGAAGTTCCTGAACTTGCCCTATCCTTATACATCTCTGCACATGCTGCCTGGAGTGACTCTTCTCTTTACAGGAAGTCCCCAAGTTATAATCATACAACTGACTTACACTTATGAATAGAGGTTTTTACTTATGAACAGAGGTTATTACAGGTAATAGGTAAATGAACCCATTCCAACTTACATACAAATTCAACTTAAAAACAAACTAAAGGCTAGGCGTGGTAGCTCACACCTGTAATCCTAGCACTTTGGAGGCCAAGGCAGGTGGATTGTCTGAGCTCATGAGTTCAAGACCAGCCTGAGCCAGAGTGAGATCTCATCTTTAAAAATAACTAGGCATTGTGGCAGGTACCTGTAATCCCAGCTACTTGGGAGGCTGAGGCAAGAGAATCACTTGAGCCCAAGAGTTAAGAGGTTGCTGTGAACTGTGATGCCACTACTGAGGGCAATATAGTGAGACTCTGTCTCCAAAAAAAAAAAAAAAGAATCCTTTTGCTCTCTGTCTGGTTAAGGAAAGTTTTCTGACTGGAGAAAAATTTCAAACAAGGTTTGCAGAAAAATAAGAGCACCTAAAGCTTTCTCTCAAAGAAGTTGGCCTCCCTCTCCCCATCCCATATTCAAATTATACTTACCAGGGAAGGACGAGCTAGGATGCAATGGAAATTCCAATAAAAGGGAAGACCAGACAGCTCACTCCGTACCCGTAAAATCAGTGCCTCTGCCTCATGATCACAGGAGAAGGTAGCTTCACTATGGGGAGCATTGTCCTTCAACAGTGGGCGAAGCAGATTATCCAAATGACAGAGAAAAGCCTCAGGGGAAGCAGACAGTCGCTTGTTCAGCTCCTAAAGAGACAACAGGTATACAGAGTGGGGGTGACAGAAGGCCTTCCTAAGCAATAGCAAAGGAAAGCCCTAGATAACATGAAGACAATGGGCATGCAAGGAAGGAAAGTTAAAAACATCGGAAAGGGAAAGAAGAAAAGAAAGAGAGTCACAAAGATCATCTGGCCTATTTTACAATTCTGTCTGGAAGACCAATTTACAAAAGGCCTGTATAGATTAGATAATAGAAATCCTACCATGCATTATCATGCATGTGGAACAGAAACTCTCTTTCTCATAAATGTAAGCCAGCACACACACAGGAAAAGATCCCAGAGCTATGGCTAGAAGTGCAGGGTATTAATTGGAATTGTCTTAACCCAATTCAGCCTTCTTTGGCAACTATAGGCCAGCAAGCTGGTTGATGTTAATGTCCTCTAACATTCACAAGATAAGAATATCAGCCCCCCACACCCCACAACAGCACTTCTCTTTATAATTACCTTGGCTCGCTGGTTGATCACACTAGTGTCCACCTGTTCATACCACACCTGTTGAAGGTCTGAAATCAGCAAGGCATATCCCTGCTTGGTGATATAAGCCTTGGCCAAGAGGGAGTTCTCTGCAAGCTGCAGCCATGCCCATGGCTGCATCAACAGGCCCTGTTCCAGTTCCTCCATCTGCAGGAAAGTTCTAATTTAGCAGAGTACCTTCAGGGTCACGTAGGCCTAGGAAGAGCACCACTCAAACAGCTCTCTGTCAACTGAAAATCTCTTGAAAATGCTCCCTGATAAAACAAAAGGCATGAATTAATGTTCTTCCAGTATATAACTAGCTGAGCACTGACCTCTTAGGCACTAAAACCCTATTTAAAATCTTAAGGGTTTTTTTTTTTTTCACATTAAGTTCCTAGAGGGTAGAAAATCTTTCTTCCATAATGTTTAAGGTTCAGCATATTGCTGTTAGTATCTCTGCTTCTAATATAACAATGTGGAAACTTAAACCACGCTTGTTGCATCTTTACCACATTCTCAATAAGCAGTCAATGCTACCCTTTCCCAAAACTAGAAGAGAAGGAATAGATCTTGTGCTATAAAATATTGTTAAGTGTCATGGCCAGGAAATTCAAATTATTTGATCATTATCTAAAAACAAAGCTTTAAGGCTGGGCACAGTAGCTCATGCCTGTAATCCCAGCACTTTGGGAGGCTGAGGC